ATGTTAACTACAAGTCAGTCTCCATTGAGGAAATAGATATTTTACAAATTATTTTTAAAAAAAGTCTTGTATTTGATGGCTGGTCCAATGTATTTGATGCCCTCAGTGGACTTAGTCAAAATACATTATTTTTATGTCATAATTACTTATAATTATTAGCAAAAATAATTTTTAAATTAACTGGGCATGGTAATGCATGCCTGAAATCTCAGTTACTCAGGAGGCTGAAGCAGGAGAATTACAAATTCAAGGACAACCTGGACAATTTAGCAAGACTCTGCCTCAAAAAAATGATAGTGGGTCACGGGTGTAACATAGTAGTAGAACACCCTATGTTTAATCCCCATGCTACAATATTTTTTAAAAACAACTAATTAGTTAATTAATTAAAATCTATATTAATCTAAAAATGACAGCCACATTCTTTTATTTGTAATTCTCAAATTAATATTTTCACTGTGATTTTAAAAGGACTACAGATAATATTTTGCTCACAATGTTGACTCTTTAAAATCTAAACATAGAAAATTAAAGAGAATAGTTTACCAGTCCTCCACGTACTTTAGCTTTGACAATTATCAATTCATGTCTGATAACATTGTTTCATAACTAGAAGTGCTTGCTCCTACCTTCTGTGTTATTTTAAAGCAAATCCTAGACAGCATCTTATGTCAACTGTAGATATTTTTGTGGGTATCACTAGAAGAGAGGGATTTTAAAACAACAAATCTGTGATATTGTTATCATGCCTAAAAAATTAGTTGTAACTTCCTATTCTGTCTTTATTCTATATTCAGTGTTCAGCTTTCCCCCATCTCAAAATGCATCATAGGTTTTTTTTTTCCAGTCAAGATAAATCAGTATAATTGGTAGAAATGTCTCTTAAGTCTCCTTTAACCTCTAGCTCCCTCTGCCTTCCTTTTGTAATGGGGACTGTGAGACTGAGAGGTTATTTGATTTTCCCCAACATCACACAGTCAGTGGTTGGGCCAGGATTGTTACAAAGTTCTCCATTTATTCTCTACCAAGGGAAAAAGAAAGGCCAAGTAGGGTGGCTCATTTAAAATCTTCCCTTACTAACTTTGATTTTTAGAGATTGTGTGCAATATAGTTTGAAAGATCTACTGAACAGGAATACAAAGTAATGATGAAACGAGATCCTTCTTTGTTTTATTAGTGAATCAGTGTGTGACCTGGGTCACTGGGCCTCATCTTCACTGTTAGAGTGGGAGGATGAAGTCATCCTGAAGAAAAGAGCAGAAACTGAAATGTATTGAAATCTATTAAAAGATGTGGAGGCAGTGTTGGGAAACATACCAAGAGGCTAGTCATAGGAACCATGTTTTTGGCAGTAACTTTCTAACTGCTTAGCAATGGTGTAGGACCCACAGCCCATTTGTTCTAGGACAAAGATAGGTTGTTGAGAGATCTAGAACCCAGAAATAGGGGAATGAGATATAGGGTTTTATTAGGAAATGCTTATGAGGAAGAGTCTGTGGCAATGGGCTAGATAGGAGACTTCACCAGAGTCCGTTGGCTTTGGCTGGGCAGGAGCACCTCTGTCACTCACAGTGCTTTACCAAGTGTCGCTTCCTTTCCTTCACAATGATGCTCCAGGAAAAAAAAAAAAAAAAAAAAAACTTCTCTCTCACAGCATTTTATCCAGTGGTAGTCAGCCAAGGGACATATATTCTTTCCACAGTGCCCCAAGTTCCACACCAGTTACCAAAGAGAGAGGGATTGTATAAGCTAGCCTATAGAAGTTAAGCAGCATTAGCTTGCTTAACTTCCTTTGTTCCTAGTCTGACCAGCACCCCAAGGAGCAGCTGTCCTGGCATATGTGCAAAAAACTAGTTTTCTACAAACAACACTAACTTGTCTTAGTTCCCAGCATACATGAGAGAAAGTCAATGTCCTTCAAGATACTACCACCCAGACATTCTGGCCTGGTTGCTCTCTGTTCCCTTGACTTGACCAGGTCCCCAGGAACTGAAAGGGGCATTCCAGAGACATTGTGTTTTTCTCTCCTTCTTTTTCTTTAAGGATGACATAAATGAATATTTATTTATTAAACAACTCTCATGTCACCTTGCTTTGTGCATTAGATGGGGAGGAAGTGGTATAAATTTAAAAATGTATGCAAAAGGAGAGATTTCAAGGATGTGTAAAAATTAAAAATCTGCTCTGGGGCCATTTTTTCTCCAACTCCAAGAAGCAGCAGCTGGTGGTGGCTATCATTATAAGGAAACTTCAGGATAAAGGATGACACCTGCCAAGGGATACACCGAGACACTTGTAGGTCTTGGTAAACATGAACTAATTAATTTTCACAACACCCTTGTGAGTCAGGAAGTAGCATTTCCTAGTTCTACAGATGGGGAAGTGTCAGCACATAAACATAAGTGATTTGGCCCTTTCACATAGCAAGACTGTGACAGTGCTGGGAATAAGGAGTCTAATTGAAAGGCTTAGAGGTTGAATTCAACTTCCAGATCTTTGCTAACTTATATTTTAGTTCTTCCCCTTAGTGACAGTGTTTCTTTTTATGAAGTAATATTGGATGATATATGCACCCTTGTTTTATGGGCACATAATTATTAGGTATAATTATTCCTAAGAATATAAAAATCATCTTTTGAGAAGGAGCCTTAGAAATGGTCAAATGTAACCTCCTCATTATGGATGTTAAATTACTCACCGTCGACATAGAACTCTTTAGTGGCAGAGCAAAGATTAGAGCCCTCACTCACTTTACTTCCATTGGCCAACTCTGGTTTTAGTACATTCTTCACCTCGTCTCCCACTGTTTCCTTTTCTGTGGAACTCCAAAGAGCTGCACAAATGAAAATGTCAGGGTTGGAAGTCCCCACAAAGGCTGTCAACTCCAACAATGCATCGGGCTCTTAAATCTTCCCTCCGATCTCTCTGTTCAGTGGTTGCCCAGACTGTGATTAAACACAACCATGACTGGAAAGCCACCACCTGCTGGGCAGCCCGTGCCACCTCACACCTGCTGGGAAGCTCTCCTCCCCTTCCACAGCCACCAAGTCACTGCCCTGCACAGCTAACCCCAGGCCCTGCTCTACAAAATGTCTTTTATTTTACTTTTTGGGGGCATCTTTATTGCTATCAACTTAATATTCTCTCAGTGACTATTTATGAAGTGCAATCTATAGGTGCCAACAATAAGATGATAATTAAGGAGAATAACCTACCAGAGGGAACTACATATAAATGTGCAGTTTAAACACAAAATGATAAGAACTTCGATGAAGCATGTATATGATATTAGGGGAACAAGGAATGTTTATTTTTATTTACTATCTATAAGCTCTGAGGTTACCAAACAATATTCCCTGAAGGTATTCCCTGCCTTTTAGAAATGTAAGAGTTTAAAAGAAAGACAGAATACAGATATAAATGTTGACTAGTTATCAGAATACAAGAATTGAGTTATGAAAATATGGCATTCCATTATGTTACTTACAGATGGTGCTGCATGTAAACAGACATAGCTGTTAATAAATTCTGTCATTAAAAATAGCAGAGTCACTGAGCTGCACAGCTCCAAGTGGGGAGAGATCTTTACAACATTGCCTTCTATGATAATGGTGGCTCCAAATCAAATTCCCTCTACCTACAGAGCACTGCTTAGCGCTAGGTGTTGTCCATTAAATGTACAATGTCAAGTAGAAAGGGATCAACTCCACCCACGCCCTTATAACTTAGCATTCCAAGGAGACAGGTAGCATCAGATATATGTGCAGATCAATGCATGATTATGATTAGGCTGAATACTGTGAAAGGAAACGAACAGTTTGCTATGACAGAGAATAATAGGGAACAAACATCATTTTTAAAGGAGTCAAGAAAAAAAATTGTCTATGACGACTTGACACTTCCTCGGAGATCTGAAGGACCCACAGGGATGAACCAGGCATAGAAAGAGTGAGAGAGAAGACGAGCATGTGTGCAGGAAGGTGGGAAAGAGTTTGCTTTGGGCACTGAGGGAAGTGAGGCTCTCAACATGAGTGGCCAGAATGAAGGAAAGGAGAGGGCCTTGCTCAGGCTGAACCTCATGAGCCAAAGAAAGGGTTTGGGGTTTAAGTGAAATGCAACAGGAAGTGATAGGAGGAAATTAGGCAGAGATGACTTTGCTGGGGGAACATATGGGAGCTGGGGAGCAAGGAGAACTATGGAGAGATCAGTGGTGCACAGATGCTCAGGAGACACTTATTGGATTGAACTATTTATTTTCCAGAAAGAAGATTTTAGTTCTGATTCATTTCTTTTCTATTTTCTACATTTTATGTAAATGTTTTCAATTAGAAAGTACAAGATCCTTGCTGTGGTTTGATCTTTTGTACCCTTTAAAACAGATATTCCTCAGTCAAAAGCCAACACACATGTGGATCAATAAACACAAATGATTTCCTTTACAAGTCATTTAATGTTCACTTTGCGTGAACCTCACAGATTGTTTGGATTTTACTGCCATCTAGTGCCTCTGAAAACATATGCTTATGTTTTTCACAAGACACTCCCCAAACTGCATGAGCAAGTGTGTTTCTGCTTCTGGAATGGAGAACCTTTGTTCTCCAAATTGCTTTTAAATCAATATGAAGTAAGTCTGGTTGTATTTTTCACCCTCTGTTTTCTCTATAGAATTATCTAGGTTTTCTTTGATCCCCCATTTTACACTCATAGAGTCCCTATGGCTTTCGTCTGGAGAATTCCTCAAGTATGCTTCATGAGGTGGACCAGTGTGCCCATTGCACAAAAGTATCTGCCTTAGGAAGCAAGTGGTGGAGACTGAAATCCAGGGCATATTTTGTTCCAAAGTTGAATGCAGAGAGGTTACATCTGCTCAAGGGCAGGCATCCTTTCCAAATTTAATAATATAAGTTAGCAACAGCCCTGGTATCACTCCATGAAGTTTCCCATACGAAATTTGGGATTCCATTCCACTGTATCCTTCATTGTGAGTCTCTTCTTCCAAGGTCCCAAGCCACTCGTTTCCGTTGGCATCAACCAGCTCCTTTTGACAAGCAACAGACATGGGCAATAGATAACGTCTATATCGGGGATGGCTGCATAGACATGTGTAGTGGCCATGGGAGGTGCATCCAGGGAGGCTGTGTGTAAGTAAATTTTTTCCTTTCTTCTGATTCACATCCCTTCTAGGAGGTTTTCCTGAAACTGGTTTTTGTATTGCTCCCAAGCTACCTTAGGTTATACATTTTTCCTGAAATATGATATTGAGCTAACTGTGAAGTTGATGGGTATTATATCTTCATTCTTGCTTAGAGATTAGGAACTGAACAACAGCTACCTTGTCAGGAGAAAGCTAAATTATAATTGGCTGTATTTTATTTCCTTCTGTGTTTTTGTGATACACTTGAGCCTTGAAACAGTCATTAGAAGAAGTTCAGGAGTTCAGTATGCTCTGATCAAAAATAATACATCATATATATTTTTCTCACTTAGGTATGAATATTTGTAATGATATGCATTTGTCATGATTTAATTGATATTCCATGTTGTTTGCATAAGAAAGTATATAAATGTCTGGTCAATTTACCAGGCATATTTGACAAAGAGGCTTAGTATATTATTCTTAGAAAGCTGTAGCATGTTTGGAAGAATATAAATAAAGTGTGTATATGAGTACAACTGTGGGCACATTAGCACACAAATGCATATACTCACACTATAGCTTGAGCTTTATTTTTAAAGATTATAATTTTTGGTGGGGTAATATGGAGGAAAATAATGTTAGAGAATACGTATTCTCTCCTCCACTAATCACCACATCATGGGAAGTCTTTCCTTTGATTAATGATCATAGCCCTTTTGCAGACTGACCTTGGAGACCCTTGAGCCTCCCAGTTCTGTATTCACATCCCCTTCCATCCTGAACAGAGGAGTCAGTCCTTTGGTCAAAGATGGCAGTTACTATGCAAATTATCTTCAGATGCTTGCAACATGACCTCTTAGATTCTAAATTGACCCAAAGCCTACATTAAAAACATCAATTTTATAAATATTGGACCCACCAGTTCACCTTGTCAGCTGTAATCGTTTGTCAGCCATCCAGAGTTGGGTCATGGAGAGACAGGGTTTTAATATATTCTTTGAAGTCATTTTTTTTTCTCTACCTGTAGCCCCCAAGTGTCACTATTTCAGGAAAGCCTAGAGGTAGTTAATTCAGTTTTTTTCCTAACCTAAAGCATTGTTAAGGAGGGTAAGTGAATACTGGCAAGCTCTGAAAATCAGTAACCTTTCATCATCCCGGACTAGGAAAAAGAGTTGACTTCACTAATATGAGAATACGCTTGCAAGGGTTTTGTTTGATGTTGACTTTTCCTTCCTCTTTCTCCACATCCAGCTGTGATGAGCAGTGGGGTGGCCTATACTGTGATGAGCCTGAGACCTCCCTTCCAACCCAACTCAAAGACAACTTCAATCGAGCTCCCTCCAACCAGAACTGGCTGACTGTGAACGGAGGAAAATTGAGTACCGTCTGTGGGGCTGTGGCTTCGGGGCTGGCTCTCCATTTCAGTGGGGTGAGGGCTTGGCTGTTGGTTACTCATTTCTACATCCTTTAAGTTTCCCCCAAATGGTTGAATCTCTTTTGAAGTATAATGGGTAAATCAAGATGCAGAGGGTTAGTTACCCTAGTTGCCCTAAATGCTCAACATTGATCTGATCTTGCAACTTTATACAAATCAGAAAATGGTGATTATTTCCAGTATTTTCCTACCACCAATCAGTTCAGCCAATTTAATTATGCAGAGTAGTATCAGTGCAGGGAATATTTAAGTACACATTTTAAAGGACTTAAATGGATTTCAATCCTGGAAGGGCGAGCACTTGCACAGTGTGTGGGGGCTTCCATCTGGATATAACTGTAATTGAAAACCCTTGAGCTTGCAATAGATTTGGGATTTAAGGAGCCAAAAATCTGGAAAATGAGCTTTGATGATTCCTGAATGTATTAACAACAATTAATTCTTTCTGAAATTATTCAAGAATGAATAATTGTCGATAATTACTAGGCACTTGTATTTATAGCATATTATTTTGTGAATGACAGCAGCAATGTTGGGAACTTTCTTTAAGAAAATTTATAATTATTCTCCTTTGCTGCCAAAGATGAACTTTGTTTAAGAACACAGTTTCTCCAAAATCATGATTAGACAGACAAATTAATTTTTTGAAAATAACAAATTTTCTATTAACTCTATTTTTTCCTGCCATGCTCTACTTTTGAGTTTGCATTGGTCCTAATGAAGTGTATTATTTGTGTTTAGTATTTTAGCTTAAGAGTAAAAATAATAAAGTGTATAGGATTTTCATCATCATCAACATCAAGAACACAGTGTTTAGGATTCTCTTCCTGGAGTACGTGGACCTCTTAAGTGACCTAGATTTCCACATATTTTCAACCAAGAAATACCTACCTATAGACATTAATTAGTGAATGAATATAGATGACATTAAAATCTACTACCAATAAAAAGCATTGCAACTATTATCTGTGATTTAACTAAATTATACAAAAATTTTCAAATGTAGGCATTAAAATTTTCATATTAAAGTAGCCATCTTCAATGTGCTATTCCATTAATAGCTGATGCATTTTTAAAAAATATATATAGTAGGGGCTGGGCTGGGGCTCAGCAGTAGAGCGCTTGCCTCGCACATGTGAGGCACTGGGTTTGATCCTCAGCCCCCTATAAAAATAAATAAACAAAATAAAGGTATTATGTCCATTTACAACTAAACAATATATTATATATATAAAATAAATGCCATTCAATAACAAGACATAGTTTAATAGTTTCTTTAACCCCACCCTTCACCTTGCTTATTAAAAATATATATAAAAAGAGACAGGTAAAGTGGTAACACCTATATTCAGGGAGCTGAGGCAGGAGGATCACCAGTTTGAGGCCAGCCTGGGCAACTTAGTGAGACCCTGTCTCAAACTAAAAATGGCTGAGGATGTAGCTCAGTGGTAGAGCACTTACCTAGCTAGCATGTAAAAGGCCCTGGGTTCAGTCCCCAGTACCATAAATAAATAAATAGATAAATAAACAAATAAATTTATATATACTTTTAGATAAATACACATGTATAGAAAATCTCCTTAGAATATATGACCCTCTGTATTGAATACTGAAATTTCCATATAGTAAGGAAGTTCTTGAATATTAAAATCTCACAGTTGAGCAAATGTTTGCCGAGTATTTACTATGTACTGGGCACCATGCTAGGAGCTGGCATAGCAACAAGGATGATAAGAAAACCAGTGCCACGACACGACTTGGACTACAAAGGACAGAAACCAGAGAAATTCTATAATCTGCAATCAAGATTCTTTATCAATATTTTTTTTTATTCTCTTCCTTTTCCATAGGGTTGTAGTCGATTGCTAGTCACTGTGGATCTAAACCTCACCAATGCGGAGTTTATCCAATTTTACTTCATGTATGGATGCCTGATTACACCAAACAACCGTAACCAAGGTGTTCTCTTGGAATACTCTATCAATGGAGGCATTACCTGGAATCTGCTAATGGAAATTTTCTATGACCAGTACAGTAAACCTGGGTTTGTGTTCTGTTTTATCTCTAATAAGTAGTCTTTTGAGCAAAAATCTTCACCAAAGCTACTAGAAATCAGTCTCTGTCATGAAGAAAGGTTTCTGGACTGAATAAATAGCTGGTTTGGGTTTTTATTTTAAAAACAGTTATGTTGAACATGGTGGTACATGCCTGTAATCCCAGCAATCTGGGAGGCTGAGGCAGGAGGATTGCAAGTTTGAGGGCAGCTCAGCAACTTAGTGAGGCCCTAAGCAACTTAGTGAAACCCTGTCTCAAAATAAAAAGTATAAAGTTATTTAGGGATGTGGTAGAGAGAGAAGATGGGAGGGGAGGGGATGGGGGATAGTAGAGGATAGGAAAGGCAGCAGAATACAACAGACACTAGTATAGCAATATGTAAAACAGTGGACGTGTAACCGATGTGATGCTGCAATCTGTATATGGGGTAAAAATGGGAGTTCATAACCCACTTGAATCAAAGTGTGAAATATGATATGTCAAGAACTATGTAATGTTTTGAATAACCAACAATAAAAATTAAAGAAAAAAAATAAAGTTATTTAGGGAGGTGGCTCAGTAGTTGAGTGCCCCTGGGTTCAATCCCCAGTCCAAAAAAAAAAAAGGTCTAGGGATGCAGCTCCATGGTAAAGCATCCCTGGATTCAATTCCCATTTTAAAAAAAAAAACAAAAACAGTTTTTAAGTCTCAGAATAAGAAGAAATATACTATCATGAGTCAACAGTGAATAAACCCAATGCAAAAACCCATAGAAATTAGTAAGTGTATGATGTTTAATTTTAACATTTTGGGAAAATGAAAACAGAAAAACAAATATTTATTTATATAGTATCCACTCAGTTTTAGAGAATTTTGGGCTAAAAAATAAATAAATAAAATTAGATGTAAGCATTCTTAAGAAGTCTAAAGTCTATTTTAGCACCCCTTGTTAAACAACCTTGACTAAACACACAGCGTATGGGTCATTTTTAAAAAAAGCAAAACAAATTTATATTGTGTGTATGTAACAACAAATCCCACCATTATGTACAATTATAATTCGCCAATAAAAGACATTGGGGGAAAGGAGGAAAAAAATACTATTGTAGGGCCAAAAGCAATCAATGTAATCAATTACAAAGGTCGAAGTAATTATTAAAAAGTAAAAGGGCCTATTCATTAAGGTAGAAGGAAAAAGAAGAGGAAGAGGAGAGGAGGAAGGGTAGAAAGAGGAGGAAAGAAATACAACCCAATCAAGAAATACAGATAATAACCAGGAGGGGTGGTGCACATCTGTAATCCCTGTGGCTTGGGAGACTAAGGCAGGAGGATCACAAGTTCAAAGCCAGCCTCATCAACTTAGCAAGGCCCAACACAAGTGAGACCATCTCAAAATAGAATATTAAAAAAGGGCCTGAGAATTGGCTCAGTGGTTAAGTGCCTCTAGGTTCAATCCTTGGTTTCAAAAAAAGAAAGAAATACAAAACATATGGGTAATAAATAAATAGAAGGAAAACCAATAGAGTGGAGAAAGGGATCAAGGGAAAGAAGAGGGGAGAGAAAAGGGAAGTATTGGGGTTCTAAATGGAGCAAATTATGTGATATATGTTTATGAATATGTTAAATGAAACTCTATGTATAACTATAATGCACTAATAAAAAAAAGATAATCCCTTACTATATGACAAGCCAGATACAGGTTAAAAATTGAGTAAAATAACAAATTTATAAATGATTATTTAAATTCAGTATATTAGTTAAGAATAGGTTCCACCAATATAACCTGAACAAAAATTTTTTGCTCTCATGTAAATCCCTCAAAAAGTAGCCTAGGGCTGCTGTGGGGGCTTCACAAGCAGTAGTGACCCCCAATTCCTTCTGTCTCCTTGTTCTGCTACACTTATAGTGTGACTTTGATCTCATAATTCAAAAAGGGCAGCAGGAAGGATGAGGGGGTAAGAAGGATATGCTGTCTCTTTAGAGCCACTTCCTAACAGTAGCACATACTTCCATTCTCATTCCTAGAATTTAGTCACATAACCACACTCAGATGCAAGGAAGGCTGGATTTGTCATTATTCTGGGGAACTAGTCATCTTGATAAAAAGATTGGCTCCTATTTGGAGGAAGAAAAATAGAAGGGTAATGGAGGAAATAACAGCAATCTCTACAAGCAAAATTTTAAATCCTGTTCATTTTAAATTAAAGTTGCAAATCAACTAAGGACTCCAACTGCAAGCTAAGTGGTACACAGTGTAATAGTGTAAAAAAAATGTACTCACCTATTAAGAGGAGATAATACACAAGTCAAGTAATCTGTTTCCCTGGTCTTTGGGGAGGACTTTATTGACTCTGAAGCATGAACACTTCAGCAGCATAAGCACAAGGAGAGGGAGCTGTGTTTCTACAGGGTGGAAGCATCCCATCTGATCTACTTAGTTCTCTGAAGGAGAAACACATTGACCTAGGTGGGAACTGTGGTCATGATTTATTTAGACTTTCAAGCAGTCTCTTAAATAACTTTCTACCCCAGAAATTTTTTAAATGTGGTTCAGGATTTATCAGAGAAAGAAAACTAATTTAGAAAAAGGACAGAAAAAAAAATCTTTAAAAAAATCATTGCTCCAGGGCTGGGGTTGTGGCTCAGCTGTAGAACACTCACCTAGCACCTGTGAGGCACTGGGTTTGATCCTCGGCACCACATTAAAATAAAGGGGGGCTAAGTGGGTAGAGGGTGGCTCAGGGATAGATCACTCACATAGCATGTGCAAGGCGCTGGGTTCAATCCTCAGGACCACATAAAAATAAATAAGTAAACTGAAGGTATTATGTCCAACTACAACTAAAAAACAACTATTTGGGGGAAAAAATCATTGTCCCAGATAAAGAAGTACAACTGTACATCCCCCCAGAAACTGGTAGATTTCTGATATTATTGATGTATTTGAAAATGTTAATTAAATGTGCTGAATTGGTGAGGTAAATTACAAGACGTCACAAGGTGTTCACACACACACATACACAAATGGAAGGTGGCAGACGAGAAGCATGAGGAAATGAACTTTGTAGAGGACTCTGCCTAGAGGCTGATGTCTCTACACTGACAGGAATAACACAGGTAAAGGGTCTAAAATCCACACTGTACTTTTCTTCCCTGATATCAATACCCATTAGGTTGCCATGATCCAAAGAGTATACAAAATGATAGGGGAAATCAAAATAGTATTTAAAATCATAGTGTTAGAAACCCAACTAAAAGCTTCCTAGCTTTGATGAATCTTCGTTGGTTCATGCCTGGAATACTGCCGATTATCCTGGGCACTGTAATCTCAAAGAAGACATAAAAAAAGAGACGAAGGAAAAAAATAAAAAATACAAGATGATACCATGTAAACAAAACCAAAGTCATGAAACCCCTTTAATGTGAAAGGCAGATTCAAGTGACAGCCACCGAAGATCTCAGCTGGGGGTTCTTCTTGGGATGGACTTGAGCTGGTTAGTCCCATCCAGGAGCACTGAAAAGGCAGCCTTTGAAATTAAAGAAAGCTAGATTAGCATAGATTAAAAAAAGAAATGATCCTTTATGCAGAGGAGAGTAAACCTAAGAAAACTATTTTCCACACAGACTTTATAAATTGTGAATAGACATTTAAAAGGGTCTGATGCTTTCCTGAGTTTTAATGCATATTTTGATTAGAGGACTTTTCAAAACCTTATTTCTAGCTAATAAGAAGTTCATGTGGGAGCACATCCCTATGTATTTCTTTGTCTTTGGTGACTAGGTCAGGAAGAGGATGCCAGGCTGGCTTATTGTTACCTCATTTCTCATTCGGTATTTCTTCATAGAATGTTTTTGATAAATCATACAAACAGAGCTGGGGTTTAGGCTCAGGGGTAGAACGCTTGTCTAGCATGCATGAGGCACTGGGTTCGATCCTCAGCACCTCATAAAAATAAAATAAAGGTATTGTGTCCATCTACAACTAAAAAATAAAAATCAAAAAAAGCATGCAAACAATGTGTGTCCATACCTCAGACACCTGATAGTATACACCTGAGAGCTCAAACATCCTGTCACAATCCAGTGTCCATATTCCAATCCAGTTGCTGGCACTCAGGGGACTAGAATGAACACAAAATGCCAAGGGAAAGAGACGTTCGTACCACCCTTTGAGGACAGGGGCAAAACCCTCAATATTGGCTGTGCCCACTAATGTGCCATGCTGTAGGCCTACAGATACCCCAGGTATTCAAAACCCTGTGGAGTCCCTCCAAGCCTGCCACAGACAGTTCCAGTAAGTGGGGAGTTCCACTATATTTTCTGTTTTCCACTTTCAGTAGAAAGCCAATATTTCCTGGCTACTTGCATTTGTTCACGTTCTATTTCCTCAATTTAGTGACTACCAAGACTGTAGAATCAAGCCAGTTAATTGTGGTTTTTAAAAATTATTTTAGCTAGCGCCCTCTCCTATCTCGCCTGCCATGTGACATAAAATGTCTATCACAGGTTGTTTTACTCATATATGTGACAAGGGTTTTCCTACCACCATCTTTTTCTCATAGGTTTGTGAATATCCTTCTCCCTCCTGATGCTAAAGAGATTGCTACTCGCTTTCGCTGGTGGCAACCACGACACGATGGCCTGGACCAGAATGACTGGGCTATTGACAATGTCCTCATCTCAGGCTCAGCTGACCAGAGGACTGTCATGCTGGACACCTTCAGCAGTGCTCCAGTACCCCAGCATGAGCGCTCCCCAGCAGACGCAGGCCCTGTTGGGAGAATTGCTTTCGACATGTTTATGGAGGACAAAACTTCAGGTACTGTTCACTATAATGCTAAATAAACCACAGTGGACACGCAGTCATTTGTAAGGGTCTTCTCTAAAGAGTGAAATGTGGGGGCTGGGGGTGTGGCTCAGTGGTAAAGTGCTTGCCTAGCACATGTGAGGCACTGGGTTCCATCCTCAGCACCACATAAAACTAAATAAGTAAAATAAAGATATTGTATCCATCTACAACTGAAAATTTTAAAAAAAAAAAAAAATGTGGACCCTTTCAGCTACCCAGGTGGTGCAGAAACAGGGAAAAGTTGTCATCCTTTGCTCTTCACAACCTTCCCAGTTGACATTGTAACTAAATCTTTTTTCTCATTCAAGCTGGCTAGTGCATTTTAATAAATAGCACTTTGGGGGCTGGGATTATGGCTCAGAGGTAGAGTGCTCGCCTAGCATGCGTGGGTTCAATCCACAGCACCACATTAAAAATTTTTTAAAAATAAAAACTAAACGAATGGAATAAAGGTATTGTGTCCAACTACAACTAAAAAAAAAATAAATATTTGGGGCTGGGGATGTGGCTCAAGCAGTAGTGCTTTCGTGTGGCCTGGGTTCGATCCTCAGCACCACACACAAGTAAAGATGTTGTGTCCACCAAAAACTAAAAAGTAAATATTAAAAAAATCTCTCTCTCTCTCTTTAAAAACAATAATAAATAAATAAATAAATAAATAGCACTTTATAATTTTATGAACAGTAATTTTCTCTTCTTTGAATATTTTCATTTCTATATTTTCTGTTTTCCACTTTCAGTAGAAAGCCAATATTTCCTGGCTACTTGTTTTAATATCCAAAGATAAAATGTGTCTAATGGACACATTTGTTACTTTCATATTTCAGAAAGAATCCTAGGTTTTGCTTGTCCTGGGCCCTGCCTGTTATCCTTCCTTCTCAATAGGGGCAGTTCAGTGATACTGAACACTAAAAAGGACCTCTAAATACTATTCTCATGTGTAATGAATTGTTTTCTTTTTAAAAAAAAATTTAGTTGTAAGTGGACACAACATCTTTATTTTATTTATTTATTTTTATGTGGTGCTGAGGATTGAACCCAGTGCCTCACTCATGTTAGGCAAGTGCTCTACCACTGAGCTACAATTCCTCCAGCCCTATTGTTTTCTTTTTATTTCATACCGTTCTAGTAATGTTAAGTGGTATTATGTGTTAAGTATGTGCCTTTGCTGTGCTTTGGTTATACTACAGAAAACAGCATTTTCATAAAAAGTAGTGATCTTTAATTATGTATCTCATACTAACCCTGCAAATGTATCTAAATGGTAAATTTAGATACACATCACTGTAGCTATGCACACAGGGGGATCATGTTTTATATTCAGTTCTAGCATTACAACCTGGATAATTTTAAAATAATAAAACTGGGAAGAATCTTCCAGGGGAATGATGCTTATTTATATAGGGAAAAAATTTGAAATTTGTGGAGTCTTAAATACTTAAAATACTTAATTATTAATGCTTTATTGTAAAAGCAACGTGTGTTCTAAGTGTGAGATTGATAAAATGCAGAAAATCATGAGAATTAAAATAAATATCACTTAGGGGACAACCATTATTAATATTTTAGCATATTTTCTCAGAGTATCATTTTTCCTTTGTCTTTATGTAAACATAACAAAATTATAATCAAATCATACATATATTTTGTAACCTGCCCTTTTCATTTAGAATTGAATGCTAATTTTTTTTCCTCATGTCCTTAAGAACATTTAAAAAATAAAATTTTAATAGCTTTATAATATTTAATCATAGTTTATTCCTTTGACGTTGCTGAATATTTAGGTTAGTTAATTTCATCTCATTTATTAGTATAGCATGTAGCACTATGGTGTAACTGCAAATATTTACTATAAAACCACACTTGCAAATATAAAAAGTTTAAAATGTCCCTCATCATTAGCAAATAGTCTTATTCTCTTAAGAAGTTTATTAAGATTTGCTTATGTAAATCTAACTGAGAACTTTGCTAAGTAACTCATTTATTTTTCCCTGTAAAATGATTTCCATTAGGGAGTTTAAAAATCTGAGAATAATTTTAACACTGCTTCTATGTGAATAAAAGCAAATACAGACTAATTTTTCAACTACCTTACTCGTGATTTTTACTTTAGAATTAATTGGTGATATACAGTTGAAGGAACAAATTTTCTGACTCCTATCTGTCTTACAAAAACGGTATTCCTAAAAACCGGAACATCTACTTATAGAATAGTTTCTGATATTGCAGAAGAGATTGCTGAGTTAGTTGATTAATCCTCTTTCATCAGGATTGCAGAGTTCTAGCATAAAATGAAATATGTACCATAGAATAAACTGGCTCAGAGTATTCTAATTGGAATTCAAATTTCTGTGCACTTTGACTCTTGAGTCCTATATCTGTGATGTAGGATTAAATGTGTCTCCAAATCCCTCATAGTGGAGACACAGATAAGGATATTGCAGTAGCCATTTGAATCCCAGAGATAAGCTGCTTGTTCTACAGGCACATGTTATGCTCAGACAAAATCAAACAGACACACCATGGGTGAAGCCTGAATTACAATGAAATTACTTGGTCTCTTCTCTGGATCCTCTGAGGCCATCTGACTCTGCTGCTTGTATCCTGGCCCCAAACCTCCAGTTATACTTGTTCATCTCCATTGTAAATGTGGGGCTAACCAGGAAACTTCTAGAGAAAAGTTGGACCTGTAAGATCAAAGTATATCATTAGATGAAATTTATGATATGTGTGATTTCTAATCATTCTGGGATAAAAAATAGTAAAAACACCTACACCTCTTCCAAAAGAGAAAGAAAATTGTGAGGTGTGTGTGTGTGTGTGTGTGTGTGTGTGTGTGTGTGTGTGTGTTTAAGACAAAAAGACTCAACACATAAGATGTATTCTGGACTAATCAATTCATTGTCTTGCTATTTAAAGTTTACTTTAGAGTCTTCCAAATCTATCCCATCAGTTTTTGTTTTGTTTTTGTTTGTTTTTCTTTTGATTACCTTTCTTCAAAGAGTTACTGTTGATCTGGTTTAGAAGAAGAATCAAGCTTTATTTAAAGAAATAACTAGAATACTTAAAAATCCATACCTAAATATTCAAATATGAAGAACATTGTTAACTTAGATTTACAATAGCATTATTTTAGAGAGAATCTGAGTTTCTAAAATAATCTTAGTTTTTGCCAAATTAAGTATAGCTTCACAGTTCAGAATTAAAAGTAGTCTTTATAACAAACTGTATAATACAAAGTTTTAATTTTTCTCAAAAAATTTCTGGGCCCTCTCCCCAAAATCATCTCAGTAAATAGGGTTTTTTCCCAGGATCTGGGGAAGGGGGAAATGGAGAATCACATATAATGGGTATAAAGTTTCTGTTCTATAGATGAATATGTCCTATTATGTATTATGTACAACACACTACCAACAGTTAAGAATATGATATGTGCACTTAAAATATGTTGAGGATAGATCTCATTCAGTATCTTCTTATTCAAAAAGAAAACACATACACATGCAACGCACACACACACAAGAGAGAATATAAAGAAATATTTGAAAGTGATGGTATGTTTACCTTGGTCATGGTGATGGTATCACATGTGTGTGAGTATATCTGAACTTATCAACTTATGTATATACTAAATGTGTACAATGTTTGAGCCTCATTTATACCTCAATAAGGCTACAGAAAAATTTTATTACTATCTTTCTAACTACACAGATAATACTACTAGAGTTCAAGTAGAAGCAACTAACTCTCTTCCCCATCATGTTACTAAAAATTCTTTCTCTTTTTCAGATGCTGCTTACAAAGTTAAATCTGTCAAAAAATTAGATAAATATTTCCCTTTGATTTTTCACTTGCAACACATACAAATCTGCTCTTTTTCTTTGCAAGTGTAGACTAATTCCATTACTTATACTTGTCTGTGTGCTTAAAAAGATAGTGTGTATATCTCAGTAATCCCATTTTCCATGTTCCAAAAAATAGTATATTTACATTAGTGGGATTGTATGTTACATACTGTATGTAAGAGAGGTTTTTACTTAAAATAATTTTAATTTTTGCAGCCCTACCTGAAATAAAAATGTTAGTTATGACTGAAGAAAATAATTCTTAATCTTGCTTAAAGTGAAAATTTACTTAAAGCATTTTTGTCAAAAGATTTTTCTTTTTTTTTTTAAGTGAATGAACATTGGCTATTCCATGATGATTGCACAGTAGAAAGGTTCTGTGACTCTCCTGATGGTGTTATGATCTGTGGCAGTCATGATGGACGAGAAGTATATGCAGTGACCCATGACCTGACTCCCACTGAAGGCTGGATTATGCAATTCAAGGTGAAAACGTCATGACCTTGATTACTTAAATAACCATATTTAAGCAATATAACCAATCAAAAACATCATAGAGACAAAGATCACCTAATATTTCATTGACTTAATACATAGCTTGAGAAATAAAATTTAATATTTAGGTAACATACAACTCACCTATATATTGCTTAGTGATTACAAATATTTCATTTCTGAACTATTTCAAGGTGAATCTTTCATAAGAGTAATTGTGTTTCTGCTCAGGATTAAATACTGATAGAACAAAATATTGATAATAAAAATGTAAGATACTGATTCCAACTCCCTGACTTAAATCACTATATACCTAATCCCTTAAGAGGAGGCTCCAATGGTTATTCTTTTCTTTTACAAGAGCATTTGGATGTTTCTAAAGGAAGGAAATTATAGAAAACAAGCATGAGTAGAAATCATGCCAGGATCAACTTTGGCCAAGATTTTGGTTAAGGATTTTTGTCAACTGATTTATTTGGTCTACCTAAATCTCACTTTTTTTAGGGAAAAAAAAATCACATTATGACTGTCTCCATAAATGAAGGGTATTGTGCTTTATTAAAAGTAACTTCTATTCTCCTTCATGCATCTAACTTACAGTCAAAAGTGATTTATTGAGAGTCATAAATTGTATGACAAAATAATAAAATTGGTAAAGCTGTTAGCAATCCTTCTTGGTCAAGTATTCTGCCAAATAAAAGTGCCAGGACATTAACAAAACAATTTGTAAGAATAACCCAGGCCTTTCAAGGCAATCAGCCAGCATGGCAAAAGCACAGTTTTCAGCTTCTCTCCAAACCCCCTACACAATACATTTGGCACTTTCTACAATTTGTCACCTTGGGCAACTTGTCCACCTCCCCTGTCCATTAGCAGAACAAGTAATGAACCTGAAAATACAATATGGTGTATACCAAGTGTTTAGCAGCTTCCTTGCAGCCAAGTCCTTGGAGCAGAAATATGTAATACGGTTTTGATGATCTTGATGTTCTTTTGATTTTCTGTTTACTAGATCTCTGTTGGATGCAAAGTATCTGAAAAAATTGCCCAGAATCAAATTCATGTGCAATATTCTACTGACTTTGGTGTGAGCTGGAATTATCTAGTCCCTCAGTGCTTACCTGCTGACCCAAAATGCTCTGGAAGTGTGTCTCAGCCATCTGTATTCTTTCCAACTAAAGGGTGGAAAAGAATCACCTACCCACTTCCTGAAAGCCTCGTGGGAAAGTAAGTAGAAAATGTAAATTCAAGACTGAATTCAAGCATCACACCCAGCAGTTGATTAGGAATACTGTCATCAAGTCAGAAATTATGTGTAATTGTGTGGAAAGTGTTCTCAACATCCCTAAATCTTAGGGTGCTCTAATCAGTGACTTCCATGATGAGCTGACTTCACGAGACCTCAAAATGCAATCCTCAGACTTGAGAAAATGATCCTTGGCATATCCTTCCATTTTCTACACTATCATCACTTGGAAACAGCAATAGTGATGGCCTTGGAGCCAGATGAAAAGGTGTATGTGACCTTATTGACCTTGTGGACTGTAGTCCACCATGCACATATGCTTTCCACATCCATAATAGGGCAAACTGCAAATCCTAACTCTTTGTGCTATTTGTACAAGTCTGGCTTGTAGGTTCCATTTTTTTTCTTATTTTCATTGTGTTCCGCACCTGCAGTGAAAAATAATTAGCTTGGAGTAGTGGTGAGCCAAAGTGGTCAAACCATGCTCTGGAAAGTCTGTGCATATGTTAATTTAAGGTAATTCCAAAAGAGTTCCCTTCTACTATAAAATTAAGACAAGAGACACATTAAACAAAATGACAAGTGTACCTCTACTAAATTAATCATATAGTCTAGCTAAATGAAAAGCCTTCTTGTGAAACAGATTGTGATATATAACCAGAACATACAGAGCTTTTGAATAATGTGCATACACACAGCTTTTCCAGTGTCCTGTAGTTATCACTTACTATATGACCACTCACAGCTTCCTGGAATACATTTTCTGGAATGAATCAGTTAGCATGCTAGGAAACTAAACCAGGATGTTTTCAACTACAAGTAACAAAAATTTTAAAACCAATTCAAATTGGCTTAATTAGAAATGAAATTTGTTTTATCTTTGATCAAAGAATCCAAATATAAGTGGACACTGGGATTGGTTGATTTGCAAGTTCAACATGTCTTCAAGGATACTCTTCTTTCTTATTCCTTTGTTCTTTGCTCCTCTGTCCACAGCAATGGTGTCATACTCAGCTCTCAGGCAGATTCCACTTTTTCTTTTCTTTTTTGGTACTGAAGACTTAACACAGGGGTGCTTGATCACTGAGCTACATCCTCGGTTCTTTTTGTTTTTTGAGATAGCATCTCTCTAAATTGCTCAGGGCCTCGCTAAATTGCTGAGGCTGGTCTCAAACTTGCAATCCTCTTGTCTCAGCCTCCCAAGCTGCTGGCGTGCACCACTGCACCCAGCCTGATTCTACTATTGAACACAAGATGACAACCAAAAACAGGAGCAGAATGTTTCCTTTCCTATGTCCAGTGGGAGAGAAAGAGAGTTGCTTTACTCTCCAGTAGATCCAGAATGAGTACCTCTTTGCATCCCATTGGTACAAATTAGCCTATTCCTGAGCCATTCAACAGTTAGAGAATTCATAATCCAATGGTACCTCATATGAATCATCGGGATGAAATGGATGCTGGGAAACACCTCAGTACTCACTTCTTTCCCCATCCCATTCTCTCTCCCTTTTTTTCTTTATAATGAAGTATAATTTGAATCCAGTAAAGTGCAGACATCTTAATTGTTGAGATCAATGAGCTTTTACTCTTGTGTAACCCATGTTACCACATCATAAAACAAGATACAGAACATTTACATAACCCCAGAAAGTTCTTTCATGCACTTTGTACTCTTTAAACCAAAATTGTGTGACTTATCTTAATATAGGGTTAATTGTGAGCCTTGTTTTACCCCCAGAAGACAGAGAAGAACAATGAAAAAATTTAAAATCTCAGGGAAATTAGCCTTTAATGTAACCCTTTTCTAATTAGCATAGTTACTCTGAGAATATTGATCATCTTCAGGGAACTCAGAAGTTGCCGTTTTCCGGCTGCCTGAGGGCTGTGTGATATGTGGCCAGCTCTGTGAAAGGCTTCGCTCTCCTTCTGTACAAGTTCAGAAATGTAATCAGTGAATCTAAGTTGCCTCACAACCACCCAACTGCAGTTCACCTGATCTATGAAAGTTATAGCTCTGTATTTTAAAACATTTCTATTGCTCACATGGAGATTCCACTGATTTTCATTTTGTTTTGCAGGTTTGCACAGATATTGTAAAATTTAGTAGAAACCAGCTTTACAGCTCCATGACTAGAAACAGAAAGTGGTGATCAGAAAATGTTTTTTATTAACTCATTTCATCTAGCAAGAGATTCTTAAATGGTTTTTTTCCTCCAGTACTAACTATATATGCAGAATAATTGACTTAAAAAAATTAACTTTTGTTTTGTCAATAGTCCAGTAAGGTTTAGGTTCTATCAGAAGTACTCAGATATGCAGTGGGCAATCGATAATTTCTACCTGGGCCCTGGATGCTTGGACAACTGCCGGGGTCATGGAGATTGCTTAAAGGAGCAGTGCATCTGTGATCCGGGATACTCTGGGCCAAACTGCTACTTGACTCACACTCTGAAGGTAATGTTAAAGCCCCTATAGAAGCATTTATTTGCATTAGAGGGCATGCCTAGGAACCAGTTTATGTGTATGATTATTGATCTAACACAAGATTCTTTGGGTACCCCAGGAAATAAATCCTTTGGGCAGAAATGAAAAAATATGTCTTAGGTTAATCTTAGCTACTAGAATATTAGGAACAACAATTTATGCAATTCATAAAATAAGTCAGACTATATGGGTCAAAGAAGATGAACACTTTGTTTTCTTTTTTTTTTTTTTTTCAGGGATTGAACCTAGGAGTACTTTTATATTTTTTATTTTGAGATAGAGTCTCACTATCTCACTAAGTTGCTTAGGGTCTTGTTAAGTTGCTGAGGCTGCCTCAAACTTACAATCTTTCTGCCTCGGTCACCCAAAAACGGGAACAGGTTTCTTTTTTTTTTAAAAAAAAAAAAAAAAAAGCTTAATTTAAAATCAATAGTGAATTCTTTCTTAAGCCTCATTTTTTTTTTCAATTAATGCACCATTTGAATAGGGCTGTTGTTGTTATTGTTGTTAAATAAAGCAAATAATATAGACATATTATCACAAAAGATCAAAATTTCAAGCAGGATTAAACGAATTTTAGTTCAGAAAATTCCGTGTTTTGGTTTGTTGACTGCTGAAATGCGGTTATATATAAAAAATAAAAAGGTCATTTTTGGAGGTGTTAGCTGTTCCATCATTATTTAACATGCAAAACAAACACAGTTGCTCAACACAGTTGCCATATACACATTTTATTTCTGCAAATAAGTATAAAGCATTCATCATTATGGCAACAGAAAAATGGCTAAGTGATAAAGCACAAGTGATTAAAATCCAACAACTGAGAGGCAAACGATGTAAACAAAGCCTGTTCTGTCATTTCTGTTTCCTCCAGTACTTCCACAACTTTGGAATTGAAAAATATTAAAATTAAAATTGAAAGGATGCTCACTTATGCCTGAAGATATTAGTCCATTGTTAACAAATGGAGTTACCACATGAGCTTTATAGAGATGGGTAGTAAATAAACAAAAAGAATCTAGTCTTTCACAAACATGCCAATTTCATTAGTATTCCTAGGTTGGATAAGAAATTACACAAATCTAAATGGTGAATTCTGATTCATACCCTTCTAATGAGAATCTGGACAGTCAACCACTCATTTCTTCTAACTCGTGCTCTTTCATATACACCTTCATTTATAAAAATTATGTTCATTTGTCACCCTTAGTGAATAAAGTAAAACTGACATGTGATTGCATGTCTTTAATTATAGAGCTGACTGTGTTCTAAGTTTGAGGAAAAAGGGGGTCTATTTAAATCATTTTAACTAGCACAGAAAAAAATGTCATTTTTTTCTGGATACAATTACTGAAATCACAACTCTAGCAAACAGTTTTTATTAAATATTTTCATCATTTAAAAAAAATTATCTCACTGGGCATAGTGGCACATGCCTATAATCCCAGCAGATTAGGAGGATCACAAGTTCAAGACCAGCCTCAGCAATTTAACAAGGCCTTAAGCAACTTAGAGACCCTGTCTCAAAATAAAAAAAAGAAAGAAAGAAATGGCTGGGGATGTGGCTCAGTGGTTAAGCACCACTTGGTTCAATCCTTGGTACCAAAAAAAAAATTATGTCAACTGAATGAAAAATTATATTATGGACAAAATGAATGTACTGTGAACAGAAAGAAAAGAAAAAGAAAATCTTGGCAATGATATGAGGGAATAAGCTAATTTGGCATAAAATGTAGCTGTGTACCTTTATTACTCTTTGGAATAAAGTCTCTTTAGAAAATAGACTATTCCTAATTGTTGATCATTTTTAGTTAAAAAGATAAGCCAGAGACTCAGGGAAAATGTTTTATTTTAGGTTTCAAGTATTTCTCCCCATTACCCTGCAACTTGGCTCTGATAAAACATGCAAAAAGTATGTCCCATGGCCTTCTAATTCTAAAGTTTCTTTTAACTTTAAACAGAAAGCTTTGGTTTCAAATGTTCTCCCCTAACCATTGAAGCATTCTAGGTTCACTGAATGCTAGAAGTTGAAGGTTCTGGCTGCCTAAGGAGTCTCTGAAGTCAGGGGCCACACACTCCAGGACAACCCACTGGAGAATGTTGAGGGGAAAGCATGAAAGTCTGCCTATATTCCATTTTTCCAAATATTTATTTTTATGCATGTTTAATAATATAATAATAAGTTACAATAGTACTTCTGTATGCTGTGTAAATTAATATATGTATTTGGAGTATGTACTTGAGTAAATTTTTACAAATGGGAGTGTTACTGTAGTTGGCATTACAATTGTTTGAGATTTTTATCTAGACTTTACTTTCTAATTATTAAGCATTATTTAAGCAGTTATAATGATCTTCAATATATGGTGGAAGAGAAAATTGTGGAGATATCCTGTTGGCTTTTTACAATATCTTTACGTCACTGAAATCAGCTCCTATTTGTTTTAAATTCAATTAACTCTGTATTGTCTTAAGTATTCTAAGGGTATTATCTGAATTTTATTTTTCTTAAGCAAATTCCACTTACTTATTTTTTCAGACTTTCCTGAAGGAGCGCTTTGACAGTGAAGAAATCAAGCCTGACTTATGGATGTCTTTAGAAGGTGGAAGTACTTGTACTGAGTGTGGAATTCTTGCTGAAGACACTGCACTCTATTTTGGGGGATCCACTGTGAGACAAGCTATTACTCAAGATTTGGATCTCAGAGGTGCAAAGTAAGTCAATGTTTCATTATTTTTATTGCAACATAGCAAATTGGCCCCCAAACAAGGAACACCTGTGGAAGAAATTGTTATCTAGAATTTGTGCAGGGTGTGTTCCAATCCCTTATTCTGATAGAGAATATGTGTTTGCATTTAGATTCCTGCAATACTGGGGACGCATCGGTAGTGAGAACAACATGACCTCCTGCCATCGGCCCATCTGCCGGAAGGAAGGCGTGCTATTGGACTACTCTACTGATGGAGGCAGGTTTTAGAGGCTAATGCCACAACTTCAAGCACATTCCCAAATTCCATCCAACATCCTTCAGAAACATCTCAGCAAAGCTTTGCTCACAATGTCAATCTAAAGAGTGACAAAGAAAAAGCTAAAGATCTTGCTCCCATTACATGTTCCGTGCATGTGACTTCTGTATTGGGCAAAATCTACCCAAAAAAGGAATCAAGAGAGAAATCACATTAAAAAAATAAATAAACTCCAAACTTTATTAATGAAGAAAATCCCCACTAGCTTAACTAAAACTTGCTTATAAGTGGCATAATTAATAAAATCAAATGTGCTTTTCCAAGTTAAAGATAATTTTTAAACATTTTAAAGCATGTTTAAAACTTTTGTGACAATAAGCAAATCGTAAATGCTACAGAGATTTACAAGAAAACCTCATTACTAGCAGTGAAAATACTCTGAATTCATGAGTCTGTCACAGAATAAATTCTGTTTTATTATTCTGCTCAAAAAAAAATCTGTTTTATTATTCTGGAGTAGCAAAGTAATAGACCAGCAATACCATGAGGTCTTTAGAAAACATGCTATAGCAAACACATATCATTCTGAATAACTAGTTGATTGAGGAATCTAAAGTATTTAGCCTTTCAAATGATATCTTCTTAAGTAATTTAACATTTCATCTTTTCAAACAGTAAGAGGCAAACCTTAAGCCAGGTGCAGTAGCATATACCTGTAATCCCAGAGACTTTTGTTTCGTTTATAGTGCTGGCAATTGATATGCAGGGCCTTCTGCATATCAGGCAAGTATTCTACCACTGACCCATGTCTCCAGCTCCCAGAGACTTGGGAGGCTAATGCAGAAGGGTCACAAATCTGAGACCGACCTCAGAAGCTTAGGCCCCGTCTCAAAAAAAAAAGAGATCTGGGCATGTAGCTCAGAGGTATAGAATTCCTGGGTTTAATCCCAATACCAGAAAAACAATAAGAAAAAATAAACTTCATACTAGTCCAACTAACTATAAGTGCCATAGAATTATAATAGCTATATTTTTTAAATACTAGAAGTTATTGTCATAGAAACATGAATATGTCTTATAGTTTATGAGAAATAATGCCTAAAAAGAATCAGAATTAAATTTTAAAAGTAGAAATAGGTCACTTTTACTTTAATATTTATTTTAGTCAAGTATTTTTAAATATCCTTCCCCTCACATCACCAACCTCATATTGAAACAGTGTTTATAAGTGGTGAATAACTACGTTAAAGTCAGCAAAATCAATTTTCATTTCCTAATTGAAGAGTATAGTATCTGCAGTACACTGGTGATTTATGGGATTTTTTTTGTTATTTAGTTTGCATGTTTATATTTATAGGAATTACTTGGACTTTGCTCCATGAGATGGATTTCCAGAAATATATTTCTGTTAGACACGACTACATACTTCTTCCCGAAGAGGCGCTCACCAACACCACTAGACTTCGCTGGTGGCAGCCTTTTGTGATCAGCAATGGAATTGTGGTCTCCGGAGTGGAGCGTGCTCAGTGGGCGCTAGACAACATTTTGATTGGTGGGGCAGAAATCAATCCCAGTCAATTGGTGGACACTTTTGATGATGGTAAGAAATAAGGCATCAAACAGTTTTCTCTATGAGCTGTTTGTGTTCTTATGTCTTCATATGAGTCATTACATGAAAAGAACTTAGAAGAGAACCTAGCACATACTCCTGCTCAACAAATGTTCACTGTGGTTGTACCCAGTGGTTTATAAACATTCAGAGTTGGCTGCTGGTTCAAATGTCAGCTGATAATTTAACAAACCCTGCAAAAAGTAACGTGTCTTACTTCAAATGTAATTTGGAATTATAATGCCCCCAAATAATTTTAGTTCCTTGAGTAATTTCTGTATCACAGAGATACATATTGCAATGGCTTAAACAGTCTACCAAGAAGAGCTTTGTAATGATGCAAATTACCCAGAAAAGCAATTATGCTTTAAAAGTGGGGTAATCATTATATTAGCATTCAGTGTTTTTTCCTAAATTTGAGTCCTCACCTTGAATTTATATATATTTAAGCAGTTAAATAAAATAAGTCCTAGGGAGTAAGCAAAATGTTACATCATAAACATAATTCATCAATAAACCAATCAGTTCAAGAAAATAATATGCCGTATTGCTTCCAATTTGCCTTAACAGAAGGCACTTCCCATGAAGAAAACTGGAGTTTTTACCCTAATGCAGTAAGGACAGCAGGATTCTGTGGCAATCCATCCTTCCACCTCTACTGGCCAAATAAAAAGAAGGACAAGACTCACAATGCTCTCTCCTCCCGGGAACTCATTATACAACCAGGATACATGATGCAGTTTAAAGTAAGGCAAAGTGGCTCTTTAAAACAGAAGGGAGTGTTGTACTGGGGGGTTGGGGGAGAATTTTTATTTGGACAGCTATAAGGACACGATTGATTTCATTCATTAACAAAGACTCTCTTGTGAATGAAGGAGGTAATCTTTCACAAAGGTCTTTGCTCAAGTATGATGATTTGAGCATAGACAGAATCTCTGAACGTGTCAGGGAAGTAGAAAGAAGTGTAACTGTAGTGTACCTCATAGATGTAATCTTGATTTCAGTTTCCCAGACCTTATGAATAAAAAGCTCAAGTAAGCGTCTCTGCCTGCTTCTCGATCTGAGACTCTCCTATGTTGCCCAGTTCTCTCCTTGTCTTTCCCCCACTCCATGCCTGTCATGTGTCTCAGATCATTTGCTTCTTGGTCCACCTTTCTTCAGTATATCCTTCAGTTTTCCCTTGTCTCTGACTTCACAAACCTGTACATTAGCCCAGTTGGAGCTAATGGGAACAAGAGGGAACTTTCAAATCTTTTTAGCTGCATATTTTATCTGTATATAGAGATAGAAGGGAAAGCAGAACAGGCAATTAATAGAAAGAAAGAGTAATAGCAATTAATGTCTCTCCATTTCAAAACACACTACAAAAATGCAGTTAATAACTAGATAATTTAAGGACATCACTTATTCGAATTCCCTTATTTAAAAAGATTTTACTACAGTGGTGATTAATAGTAAGAATCTTTATTAGCAGAAATAAAAATGCATTTGCACCAGGCACGGTGGCGCATGCCTATAATCCCAGCAGCTCAGGAAGCTGAGGCAGGTGGACTGCGAGTTCAAAGCCAACCTCAGCACAAAGTGAGGTGCTAAGCAACTCAGTGAGATCCTGTCTCTAAATAATTCACAAATAGAGCACTACAAACAGGTATGTGGACCTGGCTTAGAGGTCGAGTGTCCCTGAGTTCAATCCCTGATACAAAAAAAAATAAAAGCATTTGCTTTTTGCCTTGGCACTGTTAAACTCTCCTTCAGAGACTAGAAGGTGAGGCAAGCTCCCCAATGCCACTGCTCACTCCCTCAGGACTATTAGCTTTAGTGGCATGAAGGTTGTCCAAGGTCATATCTAGAGTTACACCACCCCTGCTTCCAGGATGTTCCTTAAGAGTGAAAGTTTGTCTTCAGCCAGTCCCACATTGTGGCCCATATCAAAGGCATCACATTTGATTGAGTTGATGGGGGCTTCTCTTTTGCAGCTTCTGTCAATCCAAAACTGAAGGAGACTTGTAATTTTTGTCTCTAACCCAAGTCAATTAGTTTAAAAGAAAGTTTGTCCCCCAGAAATAGTTAAATATCACTGTATCTTTCAAAAACTGCATCCCTCAGTGGGCTGGGGATGTAGCTCAGTGGTGGTGGAGTGCATGCATGAGGCTGCAGTTTCCATCACCAGCACTACAAAAGAGAGACACAGAGAGGGAGAGAAATAAACCCTGTATTCTTCAAAGTTACCATAGACTTTCTATGCTGCATCCCATAGCTCTCCTCCATTCCTCTCCTCTGAACCATTTGACACTATTGTCCTCACCTCTCCAAACTGTGGAAATCTCTTTCTCCTTGGCTTCACCGATGGTTATCTTATCTCTACTTTTTTTTTTTTTTTTGATACCAGAGATTGAACCCAAGGGTGCTTAACAACTAAGTCACAGTGCATTTTATGTTTTATTTTGAGACGAACTCTCACTAAGTTGCCTAGGTTCTCTCTAAGTTGTTGAGGCTGGCTTTGAACTTGTGATTCTCCTGCCTCAGTCTCCTGAGTTGAGTTGCTGGGATTACAGGAGTGTGCCACTGCACCCTGCTCTTTGGAATCTACTTCTGTCTCCTTTTTTGCTTTTCTTCCCTCAGCCCTCTAAATGTCAGCGTTTCTCAATGCATCTCAGATTTCTTCTCTCTTCCATATACATTGGCACTGCTGGGAATTTTATCCATTCCTCTAGCTTCAAGTCTCATAATCTGAAGAGTAGATCTCAAATCTGCATTATCTGACCTTGGCTCACTAACTATTAACTCAATATTTCTAATAGCATCTACATGTTTCTGCTTTTTCTAATGAGCACCTCAACTTAACATGTCTAACAGTCAACTTAATCTCTCCCTTCCCCATATAAGTCCTCTTTCTGATTTTTCTATTCTGTTGATGGCAGCACCTTTCACCTAGAAACTAGCTTGAAATATTAGTCTTTGACTAGTCACTTTTCACAGCTAATCAATTTTTATACCCTTCTAATTCTAATTTACAGTATTCTTAGCTTCTATGGAATCTTCTGTTTGCACTCTCACCGCTCCATTCTTGTCCTAAGTCCACTGTCCACTAAGTACTCTTTTTACACCCAGCCTCTCTCCACTCCTGACTTTGACATCAAAGTGTGATTGACATTTACAGCTGAGCTCATCGGTCCACTCCTTATCGACCTTCAATGACTCTGCATTGTATACAAAATTGAGATCAAATGCCTTACACTACAACTCATGTTCGTCCAAATTCAACTGATTTTTCTAACCTTGTCTCCCAACATCCCACATACTCTCTACTTAGGTTCAAACACACTATGTACTGTGATCTACACTTCTGTGTCTGCTAACACTCATTCTTCCACCCAAATATCTTTCTCCTGTCTCTATCTTTCAGACTCTTCCCATTCTTCAAGGGGCAGCTCACATGCACTCTATTCAATAAATTATTTTCTAATCCATCTAATCAAATACAATTTTTCCTTCCTATGAAGTATCACAGCATTTTACTTATATCCTTTATGATTTCTATTACATTGTTTCTTACTCTCCCTTTGAATTCAGAGTTGTTTTACTCAGGAGTGTACAGTCTGGAATTTTTAGTACTCATCTTCCCTTATATCAGCAATGAAATAGGATTTAATGATTAAATAGATTATTAGGACTTAAATTTGAATCACCAAATTTTATAGCATTTATGAATTATTAATGATTCAACCATTTGTTTTCACATCATCTGGGAAGATTTTATTCTTATGGAAAAGGAAAAAGCCCTAAGAATGAATATTAAGTAATTAAAAATTTCTACTTTGAATCCAAATAAATATTTAACAGTAGCATCAACAAAATTAGGATACCAGTGAAAATGTTTCAAAGCAGTAATGTTTTTAATATTTTTCCATAAATTCTAACATTACTTTATTTTTAGCCAAATTAATATGTTACACTAATAAAGTTAGTTGAAATAGTTTCTTATAAAATCTTAAATTCCTGTCTTAATGGAAAACTGCATCTCTTTAACAGAACTCAAAAGAATGAACCCTCTGTGTCCTGGAAGCTGCTCTATAAAACCATCTCTGAATATTTCTTGATTGCCTATCAGAATTGTGATGGAGAGAGATGGGATTTCTAATTAATGATATTAGATATTATTTAGTCTTGCCTGTATATTGACTCTTTGTGTTTGCTTTAGATTGTAGTGGGTTGTGAAGCCACTTCCTGTGGTGACCTTCATTCTGTGATGTTGGAATACACAAAGGACGCAAGGTTAGTCAAAATAATGTTAAATATTTTCCAAATTTAAATACACAATTCAAATGCTTATCGACTTTTAAAGCAGCTGCTTACAGTGAAGGAATCTTTCATATTAAAATGGATGGTTCATATGTATTCTCATACAGATTTACTTTCTATAAAATTTACACATCTTCAAATTTTCTCTTCAAACCAAGAAAATCAACAGCTAAGAAACTTTATATTTTAAAATTAGTAGGACACTAAGTTTTTTTCTCAGAGTAGAACTATTTTATTCATGTTGGTCATTTTCAATCAACCTTAAGAAAATCTTTAATCAATGAATGATCTATGTATGCTTCAGAGAAAGTCACATCTCCTAAAGCATATTAGAATTTTTGAATAAAAGTCTGATATAGTCCATTTTACCTTGTGACTAGATCTTATTGTCATGCATGCTATTATTTTATTCTGTTATTCGTGAATGTATCAGTGTAGTTTTGAAGAGTCAGAATATTTCTTATGAGAAATTATTTTCAATTTTTCCTTTTGTGATCTCTAATCCAAAGCATTACCTTCACATTCAATTAGCTATAAAATTCTCTTATGACTTGCCTAATGCAACTCTTCTGGCTTCTGCAGGTCTGATTCCTGGCAGCTCGTTCAGACTCAATGCCTTCCTTCCTCTTCAAATAGCATTGGCTGTTCCCCTTTCCAGTTCCATGAAGCCACCATCTACAATGCCGTCAACAGCTCCAGCTGGAAGAGGATCACCATCCAGCTGCCCGACCATGTCTCCTCCAGGTGGGTTGCATGTGAAGTTTTGCCTAGTGGAACTCTCTGGCCATCTCTACAGAGTTCATGATAAAGAGAGGCCTGAGTTTTAGTTGTAGCCCTAGGACCCTCTTCTGTTTTCCTACCCTCTTCTTGCCAACCCATGCTCCCAAATAGCAACTGTATGTCCCAGGAAAAAATAAGAAATTATATCTTGTTTGTAAATTATTCATAGATCTCAGATTTCCTTTCAACTATATACCATGCATGTGCCAAACTTATTCAGGCCCTGAATGCCAGACCCTAAACAAAGACTGGAGTTGGCACCAATTCTGCCCCAATGTTCTGCTCTCAAAAGACTGTGCTTCTCATCCAGACAGGAGTACCTCCTGGGGTATGACTGCCAGGTTGCCCAGAGCTGAGAATAAATACAGTGCTGTGTAATCTCTATAGAGCAGCATGCATTTTACTCAAAGATTTGGAAAAGGATACACATCCAAAGAAACAAGCAGACACCAAAGTATTATGGAATAGAACAGAAAATTCACATAAAATTTTCAGAAAGACAAAAGCTTCCAGAAAGGCATCTTGGAATATATTCCCTGAGTCTGAGGGATACACGTTCACTTACCTCTATCTTTGGGGGGACTTCAGAAGTTTGGGAAGCCCTTTTCTCAGGTCCCCTTTCCTAGAGGCAGAGGTTGGGCGCGGCCATGGGAAATATCAGCTTACTGATGACTCTCTTCTGTTTCTCTGGGTCTCTTCAGTGCGACACAGTTCCGCTGGATCCAGAAAGGGGAAGAAATGGAGAAGCAAAGCTGGGCCATTGACCATGTGTACATTGGAGAGGCTTGCCCCAAGCTCTGCAGTGGACACGGATACTGTACCACTGGCGCCATCTGCATCTGTGATGAGAGTTTCCAAGGTGTGAACCCTGGGCCGTTGTTGATTCAGAACACCAGGAGGTCTCCTTGTCTTAACATGAGTACAGGAGCCCATTAGGAAATGCATAGGAACTCCAGGCTGAGGAGGTCTCCTTGAACACAAAATTATTTATCTTTGGAATTAATTTCCAAGAATAGTTTTATGTTTTCTTCATGGAAGTTTTTTTCTTTTTCCTTTTTTTTTTTTTTTTTTGCAATACAGAATGAAATCCACTCAGGATATTCTATAAGTTTATAAGTAAATATGAATCCAAATAAATCTACTCAGGATACTCTGTAGTATTTTACATTTTCTATTTTTCATATAACTTCCTGCCCCACCCATACCCCCAACACTGAATTCCACTTCTTGGCCTCTCTCCTTCCTGGCCTAGCTGCCCAACCCTAAATACTTTGTCAATTGCTATTTTCCACGATGCATTTGTCTATATCCACCCTTCCTCAGCCTCCTTCAACAGCAGCTGCCACTGTCCTCCCAAGAAGTAGCTGATAACTCAAGATGCTGTGCTGCCCAGGTCACTTTGTCACTCAAAATAACCTTCATGACTCAAAGACATCCATTCGTTTTCACTGCTTCAGTTTCTAGAGGCCAAGTGTGTATTTGAAACAGTGTCTACTCAGACCCTCACATCACAGGAAAATTTTTGTCAGCTTATTAGGAATCTTATAATCCTGCTTTCCTTAAATCCAATATTTTTAACAGGTCATTACAAAGTTCACTTTACATAATTACCATTATATCCTAATAGCCTAATATCTGTCAAATAGCAAGTTAATTCTTTGAATTAATCCATACACTCTCTTATGCTTTATTGTTGACATAATATATACCAATCCCATTTTCCAGAGTCATTTAGTATTTATCTGCACATGTTTCCTATCATGAAGATAATTATACCCACTCAATAGGTAAAGAAACTGAGACTCAAGGAAGTTAAGTGACTAGCCAGACATCACACAGCTAGCAACAGCTGGAGAGAAGACAGTATTGGGGTGGTATTTTCCAGTCAACTTTGTTAAGTTCTTATAGATGAGAGATTTCTCCAAAGAGGATCAGAATTATACAACTTTCCTTAGGCATACAAGGTTAAAATCCATATATTTGAATTTCAGAGTAGGATATATTTTGATTTCTTGGTTGATGCTATTTCCTTGCCTCCAGATGAAGTGGCTATGATTAATGTAGACTGCTGCACATCTCTGATGTTAGAAATTACTTAGCCATCTCCTTTCTCCTGTTATCATTGCCACTGAGACCAGCTGGGTCCATCTGTGCATTAGCTAAAGAATTTTAACTTCAGGCAAACTAATGAATCAAATGTCCTCACAAGAAGTCCCAGATGTCTGGAATTTGCCCTCCCCATAAACCAAGCTTTTGATTTTGAACTTTGGTGGACATTTAGTAAAGCTGTACTGTTGGAATCACCTTGCTAATATAGGGTCTTATTTAAATGATAATATTTCAGCTCAGTGTTCTCTGACAGATAATTCCAGTTTATTCAGTATTTGTTTATTTATCCCAGAATTATTATTGAATATCTTAAATGGGCTAAGTATTGTGCTAGATGCAATGAATTAAGATTCAAACTCTGCACTAAGGAATGTAGAGCTGGAAGGAGATCAGGAACATGACTTATTTCTACAAAATCATGCTGGGAAGAAAGAAATTAGATTGGCCTCTCATGCCAGGTCAAGCTCCCTACTGAGACTTATCATTTACAAACAAGCAAGACCTGGCCAGATGCTGTGGTATTTCAATAACAGATGCACACAAGCATTAACTACATTGGCACCTACATATTTTAATGAACATTATCTCAAAAATAATGGATGTTTTCCAACAACAAAAAAAGAATTATTTCTAGGAGTCTGTGTCTACTTGGTATTTTACTATTCTTTTTTTTTTTTTAATGGTGGTGCTGAGATTGAACCTAGGGCATTGCACATGCCAGGCAAATGCTCTATCACTGAACCCCAGGCCCCAGGCCCTTGCCATTTTTGCAGTAACAATGGCTCAAATCTAAAACTGAATACTTATTCTCTGGTGATTCTGCTTGTTCCAGCCAATTCTGATTTCTGTGATTATTCCTTTACCTGTAGGTGATGATTGCTCTGTTTTCAGTCACGATCTTCCTAGTTACATTAAAGATAATTTTGAATCAGCAAGAGTCACTGAAGCAAACTGGGAGACCATTCAAGGTGGCGTAATAGGAAGTGGCTGTGGGCAACTGGCACCCTATGCCCATGGAGACTCACTCTATTTTAATGGCTGTCAGATAAGGCAAGCTGCTACCAAACCTCTGGATCTCACTCGAGCAAGGTAACCAACCCCCTGTGTTATAGTCCAGACTCTGTTAGCTTTGATCTTGAACTTTAAGAAACAGATGTCACCAAGTAGTGGAAACCTAAATACTGTTCGAATTTGGTGCAAGGAAGCATTATAAGTTTTACCAACTTAGAATAATTTTGCTTAAATTTATTGTAGAATTGTTGTATACTTCTTCACACATATTGGCTGAGTGGTTGTAACATGGAGGGAGAAATATCCAAATATAAAAAATTGGCTAGGAAATCCTTATAGATAACTTAATGTTGACCATAGGCAAGAATGTAAAATAAATGTGTTTATGAATATTTTAGGAATGAAGACTTATACCTCTCTTTAGCTTAAATTCAGTAAATAGTAATGGTGAATAAATGGATGAGATCATTAATATTCACATGCTCTATAGGAATTGGAGATTAGTATAGAATCAAATAGACAGAAATCCTGCAAATGGACTAGGAAATTAACAAAGAAAAGGAGACCCCCAGAAGGTCGAATTTCTTTCTCTACCTGCTCTTCCCATCCATTCTGCCTTAGCCAGAATAGTCACAGTTTTTCATCTGTGTAATCCAAGAAAAGATGCCAAGACTTTAGGAATGTTACTGAGTACTGGACTGGAATATTCCTCAAATGCTGATGAGTTTTCAGGAGCTATGAGGATATTTGAGATTTAGACATTTGACCAATGAGGTAGATGTTCACTTTATAAAATATTAGGAATGTATTTTCAGAGGCAGAAAAGCAGGGTTAGTGGTCCTTTATATGATAAACAATGAAAACAGTATGGATCCCTGTATGATAACCATGGAGATTCTAAAAGTTGTATCCACCATAGGGATGGTGGATAGATGCATGAGGCTGTTAATATAAACCACTGATTCCCACTTTTTCCTACCAAAATGATATAGTTAGTCTAGAGACACCTGATATCTTCCTTGACCCTATATACAAACAGCTGCACCAAAGCACTCGGTTCACAGTTACACAACATGTGGTACAAGTAACTTTATTTTAACTTAATTTATGCAAAGGTAAGTTTTAAGAAGGTTCTTTGTGTGACCATATACTCTAAATAGGGCCATTCTGTAAATCACTAGGAATCTTCTGAGGATATATTTCCTCTATTTAAAAGCTGTGTCTTCTAAGTGCAAGAATGCCTATGAAAAGCAAGAAGATGAGTGGGACAGAGCAGATGTAATCCAGAGCCTGCATGTTCCTAGTTTTCCTCATCTCTGACATCCAGACAACCTTCTCTAAAATAGACATGATGATTTATCTTTGTCCAGATGCTCTTCTGCTTGGAGCTATTTGTAAAAAGCATATAGTATAAATATGGTAATTTTATGCCTTGCCTTCTCCATGCCCTCAGCTGCCCTATGGTCCATGTTACAATTTGGAGAATAGAAGGTGTTTCAGGTGAAATACTCTAAAAAGATTTCCAGCATCATAAGATTCATCTTGAAAAGTCAAAATTGTTTTCTTTTTGTCGAAAAGCAGCCTTCTGAGTTATTTTTCACAGGTCTAATATAAAAGATAACATAAATAAATTGTGTGACTAATATGATTTATTAATATTTATTTTTACTTGATATTCATCCCTTGGCATCATAGAAGATTGGTCCTAGGATTACCCACAGTTATGGAAACCCATGGATGCTCAAGTCATATAAAATGATGTTAGGGGCCACTGGGGTTATGGCTCAATGGTAGAGCTCTTGCTTGGCATGTGTGAGGCACTGGGTTTGATTCTCAGCACCACATATAAATAAATAAATAAAATAAAAGTCATCAATAACTAAAAAAATTTTTAAATGGTGTGGTATTTGGACATAATCTATACTAGCTTTTTTCTTTCTTTCTTTCTTT